TTCCCCTGCCCCCTAAACTACCCCCCGTGCTGTCAAAGCTTCCAGTTTCCCCTCAGCACCCACAAAATCCACAACCTCACTAGACTGACGCAATCATCTCTCGCGTACAGACTTTGCAGACTTCGCCGGTGCTGCTGATCCGTCGCCCGTGCCCAGCGCCTTCACGGCTGCTCCTGGCGGCACGACGCTCGGCGGCGCGCCCGAGGCCACGGGACGTCCCTTCACGAAGTGGTACAACATCCACGAGCGCCACTCCCTCAGCGAGTTCAAGCTCGAGGGCGCCATCCTCGCCGTCAGCGCCGTCATCTTCCTCCTGCACATCATTGGATCGCGCCTCAACCGCAAGAAGGCCAAGTCCTGGGCCACTGCCCACGCGCCGGTGCTCAAGTCCGAGTTCGCCTCTGTCGGCTTCTCCCCGCGTTCCACGACCGACACCGACCCCAAGGATCCTACGGGTCTGCTGCGCGAGAAGTCACTCTTCGAGTTTGCCAGCTACGGAACCGGTCGCCAGAATGTTGCCTTCATGGACGTCAAGTTGACGCTGACCAAGCGCTTCAACCCGTTCCTCAGCATCATCGAGGCCGTCACCAGCTTCTTCATGGATACCGTTGAGGCCCCCCACGACTCTGTCGAAGCTGTCATCTACCCCTTTGACGGCAAGGAGAGCCTCACTGTTCCCGCGATCCCCGGCACCCACGAGCTGCGCAGCAAGGAGAACAAGAGCACGTATGATAACTTTGTCTGGGCCATCGTTTCCAAGGAGCGCATGAAGCAGGTTCGCGACGATCGCTACGATGTCTCCATCACCTTCACCAAGGACAATGCCAAGCTTCCCAACTGGGTCACCGTCATGAGCGAGAGCGCCGAGATCACCGAGCAGCTGTTGACCCCTGAGCTCATCAAGGCCGTTGAGGCTGCCGGCGACGCGTTTGACTACCTTATCGTCTCTGACCAGCCCATTGAGCGCCCTAGCACGTGAGTTTCAACCGCAATTTGTGGTTCACGTTCATGACTAACAGTGTAATAGCATCGAGGAGACCACCCCCCGCAAGCGCGTCTTCCTCCGCTACCGCATCCCTTCAAGCAACAATTACGAATCCCTGTTGCCCCTCTTCGAATACTTTGTCCGCATCCCCGACGCCCTCGTCTCGGGTGCGCACTTCCGCCCCGAGGTCCTGCGCAAGGTCCGCAGCGTGCGTGAGGAGACCATCGCCCAGCTCAAGAAGGCTGCCGAGGCTGAAAAGGCCGAGGAGCGCACCCTCGAGCGCGAGAAGCAGAAGAAGGCTAAGCGCGACGCTGAGCTCAGCGCTCTGGACGCCAAGGCCCAGAAGAAGTACCTCGAGAGGGAGCGTGAGCGCGACCTCAAGAAGAGCATGAAGAAGCAGACCATGCGTGGTTAAAGCAGTGTTTGAAATGCTTTCCTTAGCGGAAGCTCTTAAAAAGTTGCTACCCTTCATCAATGTCTTTTAAACCTGGAGGAAAAAAAAGGCCGAGGGCGGTCTAAGGGGTCCAAGGAGGGGTCGGCGGTGTCAATATTACAATCTACGAAGGCTGAGATGTATACATGTACCATCATGAAAGGCGGCGACGGCGGCGGCGGCGGGGTAAATCAAATAGTATATCTCGTGTCAAATCATAACCTAATAAGCTGTCAACCTTTCTGTCTCGTGTATGCACCGCGACCCATCTCATACCACCAACACATCTTTTCAAAGACAAGGACATTTACTTGTCTTGCGCCAGGATGCCCTCCACCCGCGCCACCTTGTCGGCGGCAGACTGCTTCTTGTCCGTTCTGCGCAGAGGAGAATATCCATCATCAGTCACTCAAACATTTATCCATACAACGACTTTGCGTTCTTTGTCGTTTGAAGTAAAAAATTCATTTCAGGTAGACAAACCTCGAGCCGACGCGCATCGAAGACTGGATCCGCACGACGCCGCTCTGGTGGACGAGAGAGTGCGCTTGTCCGATGACGCGGAAGACGTCGTCCCAGCTTCCCTCTGCGGAGAAGGAACGGATGTGTATGTCAGCAGTGTCCTATATGGTTCTTGATGTAGTTTGAAACCCCGTACCGAAGCAGGGGGGGCAAGGGGGTGGACGAATCTCATGAGCTTCCACGCTCTCGCGCAACGACGATGGTTCAAAAGCTAAGAGGGGAGTGCGAGGGGAGAGAATTAGGTAGATGAGAGTCGTAAAAAACGTACCGACGGTGGTGCCGGCCGAGTGCATGGTGTACTTTAGCCCGCTCGCCTTGAGCAGGCGCTGGACCTGGGCGACCTCGTTGGCGACGGAGACGCTGCCTGTGCCGACGGGGATGAGGCAGAAGTCTGCGTAGGCGGCTTCGGGGGTGGGAATGTTGGAGTAGTCTTCGCTCGACATTTTTCGTTGTGTTGTGTGGTGTTGTGTGTGTGTGAGAGAGAAAGAGAGAGAGACAATGTATGTGAGAGAGTTGAAGTTTTGGTGATGTTGGGTTTGAATGAGTGGTATGTGGTGGGGTTAGATTTGCGCGACTTCGGCTCTAGGTTACTGAGGTTGTGGCGTGTTGAGGGTCGAGAGCTGTGAGGTCGGTTTTTGGGTGAAGGGTGAGGCTCGACTTTCATGCAAAGTCTGAATTCAGGAAACGAGAGGCACTGACATACGTATCGTGACGGATCTCATGGATAAACCGTAGATTTACTAGACAAGTTCATATGTCGTTGACTTTGAGATGCCGTCGTCGTGCAGAGTACCTTTCCCAATGATGCAATGAGGGGTGGGGGGTGGTCCGTTCCTAACCGTATACGAGGGGTCCTTGCTACCTTCCTAATGAGTTTTTCTCCCTCATCACTTATAAGCCGACAACCTCAGCTCATTCTCGCTGATTCAGAACACTGGCCATTTGTGATTTGTTTCATGAAGTTGGTTTTCATATTGATATGAGCATGATTCCACTCAATGCCCGGTATCTATCTACCTCACTGATCCAATCCGGATCAGTAGTGTTGCCCTATGTCCCAAAGGGCTCTCTTCCAAACAAAACTCGCGGGGGTCCCGTTTTCCCCGGGTTGTACATGAACAAAGCTGTGAAAAAAAAAGCCATGAAAAAGTCGTTTCTGCCGATGATTTCGGCTCATGATAGAACGCCGTCGCTATGCATCTTTTTGTTTGAAAAATGAGAAGGAAAAAAAGAGGTAAAAGGAAAAAAAAACAGGAGGGGGAATCATAGTGTTCATCCGAGATATGTCCCTTTGAGCGTACACACACAGACACTCTTTTTCATGAGATTGTCGCATGAAAAGTGTCACATCCTTCTTTGGCTCGGACCCTGAGAGACCGGACTTTCAGAAACAGACGACCCCTTAAAACAAGAACACAGCGGCAGCGAGAAACGCGACGAGCGCGCCAGTCTCCATACCACCGGGTGCTCTACCAGCAGACTTGCCGCTGCTCGAGCTCGCGGTGGCGCTGTTACTGCTGCTGCGGCCAGAGATATCGGACGAAGAGAGCCCGTTGAGGTTGTCGGCGGCGTCAATGGCCGGGCCCTTGTTGAAGAAGTCCACCAAGATGAAGACGGGTTTGGTGCCCCACTGGCTCTTGCACGTCTGCGCGTGGAGGCCGAGGTTGCCCGCCGTGCTGGTGGAGGCCGAATTGGTCGTGTCAATGTCGCTGACATCCGGGATGAGGATGTCGGTGGCGAGGGTCTGGTACTGGAAGTGGTTCATGAGGGGCAGCATGTTGGCCGAGACGGCGGCGGCGGCGGTGGAGTAGGTAGAGGGCCGGTCGATTGTGCAGTTGAAGCCGGCGGCGGAAGTGACCTCGTAGGCCGTCTCGAAGACGTAGGAAAATTCCGGGAGTAGGTAGGGGTAGTCCGTGTCGGCGGTGATGGAGGCGACAAAGGTGACGAGGCGGGTGTCTGCGTCGATCATGGTCTGGAGGGTAGGCCAGCTCGAGGTCGCGGAGGAGGTGGAGGGCTTGTAGCCGTACTTGGAGATGCCCGAGGACTCAAAGACCTTGCCAAAGGCCGAGGCAGCCTGGTTGTCCGAGTTGACGAGGAGGATGGTGACGACATCGTCGGTGTGCTTGTCCATCCAGTCCTTGATGGCGGAGAGCCAGTTCTCGAGGGTGCCGGCATCGAGCAGGCTGCAAGTGGTGTGGCAGAGCTGGAGGACGCTGCCCGAGGTGCCGTTGACGAGGTGGACCTGGGCCTGGAGCAGGCGCAGACCCGAGTTGAGGGCGACGGTGGCGTTGTAGTACTGGTTGCCGGCGATGGAGTTTGAGGTGCTGGCGTCGCGGAGGAAGGCGCTGTCGTGGGCGCCCATGTGGGTGATGTTATTGTACTTGCGGCTGCAGAGGGATGGGGAGTTGTTGCAGACTGTTGAGTTTGAGGAGGTGGCGGCAAGGGAGGTTGTGTTCACGGTTGATTCTGTTGATGAGGATGAGTCTGAGGGGAGTGCGTAGACTGTTGCGGTTGTGGCGAGGAGGGCCGCGAAGGCCTTGCGGAGTGAGAAGACCATGTTGATCGTTGATGTGTTTGAGTGTGTATAATTTGTTGGTGTTGTCCGTGTATGACTGAACCCAAAAACCTCGGATGCGGGAATCGACGAAAGCGGGAAGCAGTCGACTAAATAAACGTCCGAAACAGTGATCGTCGGTTTTGGGGATGTCGCACTGCAACTATGAGGAGGCTGGCTCAAGTTGCAAGGAAGCAGGAAAACCCGCGAGGTCGGAGTCGAGGTAGAGGAAGAGAGAGATGTGACGGGAGGCAGTCGAAAAAGGCGGAGACTCGAGTAGCGAGGAGGTTGAGATGGGCAGGGCAACGAGAGACGGGATGTTACTGGACAAGGTAGGTTAAAGGTAGATCCAAGACAGGCAAAATCCTCGAGAGTCTGATGTAAGGCGAGGTAGAGGTAGCGTATTCGTAGTGTCACTTGGTGTATTAGTAGTCAGCGTGGAGGCCAAAGGAAAAGACGGTGCCGGATCCCCAGTTCTTAATATGTTGGACACATGAAGGGAGGATCCTCGCAAGGCCAGGCCAAGGAGCACTTTGGGATGTTTCCTTGTCCCCCATTCGGAATCCATGCTCTGTATCCGTACTCCGTACCCATACCCATACCCATACCTAGGTAGGTACGGATACCTGTCGCTTGTACCCATCCATACCTTACGTAGCCCCGATGGGGCTGGAGAAATATCAGACAAGACCGAAGCTGAAGAAGGAGGTGCGGCATTCTGGCAGAGAGTCTGGGAGACTTGGACCCTGTTGGTTGCGCGGCCCCCAGTCCGTCCCCCGTTTCCCGGTGGGGCTCCGGGCGTGTGGGCGGGCTACATGGCGGCATGGCGCAGTCGCGGTTGTACTCGTACTTTTTTTTCTCCAGTCGCTCTTCACCCCCTTGTACCCAATGGAATAGTGAGTGTACGTACATACGAGAAGTGCAAGAGAAGAGCGATGGAAACCACCAAGAAGAATCCAACACTAGCCACGGTGATTTTTAATTCACTTCGACTATGCTTGCGTCGTGTGTTTTCGGGTCTGGATACACTATATCTGCCATGAACAACTGGTTTGCACTGCCAAATGTACACGTACATCTCACCTCTCAGACTTACACAGCCTCCCTCTCCGATTTGTGCATCAGGCCCAAGTCCGTCAGCAAAGACGTGCAGCAAGACGCAAAGGGGGTGATGCGTGATGTTTTACCCATCACCGAGCACATTTCACCATTGAACTCCCATTCCCTCATCCTCCCCTTCATCCCCTCACCTGATTTCGCCAATAGGAGCCTTTCCCCCAGCAATGCCCGTTACATGCAGACCCAGGCCGGAACTCTGCGAGTCTCTAGGTACTGTACTCTGTACAAAGGAATGGGCGCGGCCTCATCCAGAGTGCTTTAGGTGCTTTAGCTGTTGCGTAGTAAGCCCGAGACGGAGCTAGGAATTAAGGTAGCGTTGGCCATCAGCGACCATTTCTCACTTACACCAGTGTCAAGAGGTGGTGTGCGTGCGTGTCGTGTCACCTTTACTTGTCACCATCTTTCCCACTCTGCTGGTTCCCGCCCATCCAACTAGTGTATGTCTTGGTGGTACAATATAGAAGTTGAGGGCCTACCTTACTCCACGGACTTGAGACAAGTCCCAAGCCGAAGGAGAAAAGAGAACGACAGAATGGACAGTCGCAATGGTCGCTCGAACGTCTCAGTCTCACGCCTCCCAAACCTCTGGGGAGGGAAGCCCCTGACTTTGGCTTGGTCGAGTGTTGGGGGGCCTCCCTTACCTCTCACACGCTCTCTGCGCTCTTGGAGCCACGTTATTCCCTCCACGGCACGCCATCACCACGCTCAAAAGCATGGGGATGCATTGCGCGACAGAGTGAGTTGCGCAGTTGCAGTCGCAACCCGAGATCTTCTGCCCAATCGCACAAACCATCTTGTCCCGTGCTTTACGCTGCTTACTGCTTAATTGCTTGATACTTTCTGCAAAAAAACCACCCTGGTCCAAGACAGACTTCCCGTCCCTTTTCGCTTTCGGTGCCGTTGTACCGCCCGAGGACGATCCGTGTGTGAGAAGTTGAAAGATGGAAATGTTTCTCTGCGGCCCAATGACGTATCTACACCACAGGAACGTTGGATTCTGTGAGGATCCGTTTTGATGGAGAACATGCAAGATGTACTCTCACGCTTTGTACAGATCTTCTGTACAGATACATCCGAACTCGCCCAGTAGACTGGATACTCATGAGGTCGGTAACCAAGTCAACCTCTTGTTTTCTTTCCATCTTCACCCACCATTCGAGTGATGTAAACAAATGAATATGCAACTTGCAACTCTCCTGCCACGGCCATTTCTGACTTGGAAAACCTGCAACGCGCGGGGCTCCAGTATTATTCATGCGGTGTGCAGATCTCTCTGGCACAGCTGCTGAATGGTTAACCTCGCAACCACAAACCGACAACAACACCTGGGCCAGAAAGTCGCATTGAAGAGTTGTTGCTGAGAAGGTTGACCAGAGGCTGGCTGGCTGACTCGTAGTGCATAGCGATTGCGGCTAGCTCTGCATCTTTTTCCTGTCGCCTCACATCTTCGTACCACCTCACCGACTTTGGCATGTCGACCGATTTGCCTTGCACATGCCGTTCCGACAACCGAAACTACGACACACTCGAATGAGGGTTGTCCAGCCGCCCAGCCGAGCATTTGTTGACTTTTCAAGGCGGGCTCATACGAAAGATTGGGGAATTTCAAGAAGAATAGGTAGCTCACCTCCAACTTTTTCTCTGTTGTTGATCACTCGCCCATACAAGAACACTGAATACTGGCACACCGATTGGATGCCGGGTGATAGGTGAGAGAGAAAAAAAAAATCGAGTGGCTTGCACCCTAGAGATCTACACTTCCGTCTCCAGAGATTCCAGCGCCGCCACCACAAAAAAAGGTGTGGCTGTCCATCCGCCCAGCGAGACGGTTCGACTGGTCCAGAATTCCCCCCCAGTTCCCATCTGCCGGCGGGTTCTCCAGCGTCGTTCCAAGAAAAGAACTTCCCAAGCCACGGGAAAATCTGTCTTGGTTCCTAGGGTCGCCACTGACTTTGCCATCCAAAGGGATGCCGTTTGGTGCATTTTAATGGAGACATGTAGTGGACGAGAACAGCAACAAGAAACAGGAACAGGAAATCGAGTAAACAAGCAATGAACTCTCCACAGGGCAGAAAAGCTCGTCACCATGATCATCATCAACACCTGTCCACCAAAGAGCAACATCGTCAAGGAGCATTCTCACTGGACGACACTGGGTAGCAGATCGCTGACAAAGCCCACCCAACAGTACAACTATCCAAGGCAGGGAATGTACGGATACTAGCCTGGTCAGCCGAATAGACCGCAGTATTCCCGTCAAAAAGGGGTCTCCACAGGGGTACCCAGCACAAGATCGCCTCCCGTTGCTATTTTTGACCACTGGAGTCTGCGTAGTGCGCGTCTGCTCATGTCATTTCTTCTTCTTCTCTTTCTTGCTCAGCCTCAACCTCCCTCTTCGGGACCTGACAACATGGTGGTTTAACCGATAGCTTGACCACGACATGCTTAATTTTCTCTGCCTTTGCCTCTTTACGTCGTTGCCGATCACTTGCGTCTCTGCGCAGTCGGGAGAATAAAGTCCACACTATTCGTTACCTCGTACAGGGTACATTGTTAGTTTTGTTCACAACTGTCCACGTGATGCTGTGCTACCGTCTTAGAACCTCTGTGAAACATCACAAACATCCTCAAATTCACCTGGAGAGTTGTTCAGGCGGAGGCAGTCAAGGGAGCAGATCAAAGCGAACTCCGAGACAGAGCGTTTTGACATCTGTCAATCCGATCCCGGGGGGCGGGGGGGGGGGAGGATGGCGAAAAGCCACGTCTGTCTTGCTCGGTAGCTCTATCCGAACAACTGTCTTCCCCAGCTGTTTAGACAGGTCCAGGCGCTTGATTGAGAAACTTGCGCACAAGCCGTTCTTTTCCTTTTGCCTCCGCGCGGACTCTGTGTTCGTCACATCCTCTCTTGCCTCTCTCTCTCTCTCTCTCTCTCTCTCTCTCTCTCTCTCTCTCTCTCTCTCTCTCTCTCTCTCTCTCTCTTCCCAAGACACCAAGACCACCTCAAACCCAATGCCTAGACAACCCAAGCAATTTACCATGCCCGCGATATGTGTGGCCGCGTCAAGCACGTACTTTTAGTCTACCTACCTACCTACTCTTAGGTCGCCCACGACATTGGGACGTCTCCACTAGGCTTAAAATCTCTAGGTCACGCCATACTTGCGCGTACCAAGACTTGCAAGACCGAGCTTCTTCATCACTAGGGGCTGAGGTAGATGCCAAATGTCGCCTCCTGGCCCAGAACATCGTGAACACTGAACCCCATCCGAGGGCCGAGGGGATAGGACATGCCGCAGCGACACCACATCCAGTCGCTTATGCCTCACGCTCTCGGTCCTCTCCCTTTTCATCCGAGCCTCACAAGGCGAAGGCGAACACGCAAGTTATGAAAATGTCACCCTATCGAAGTTTGAAGGTAAACCCCCCGGCCACAGGGGAACCCGGCACCTCGGCGCTCGACCGGGCACCATGCGCCCACATCCCTGCGCTCCAGTTCGTAACGAGCCGCAAGGCAAAAAGGCATGAGATCCAGCACCTTATGTTGGTTAGCCTGGTGGGCTAGAATTCATCAAGAGAGCACAGAAACTCGTACGGCTCATTCCGAGAGGCGTACGTAACCTTGCCCTGCCACCAGTCTTAATCAGAATCATCCGTGGTTCGTTCGCTGGGGGCCCAGGCTCGGGGCCTGTCAAGCGACGGGAAGGACGATATTAGGAACGGTACGGTATGGTGGGGGAGGAACCGTCACCCGGAAAAAAAAAAAAAAGAAGGGCTCGACTGTCAAAACTAAGCCACGCCGAGCGCAAAAACCCACGTCGGCCGCAGCCACACGAGCGACATGTCGTTCGTCTTCCCATTTGTTGGACGAATTCACCGAATGCCGTCAATGCCACTGTCAAGGCTTCATTTCCCCCCTCTCGTCACGCGTGTACCCCCGAGGAAGGGCGCAGCCGCAGTTCATGCAACGCTCAAATTGTGGTCAATGCTCGGATTCTTCTTGAATTGATATCCTTTCTGTCTCTGAATCTTTTAATCTGCTTACTCAGTGACCGCCACGGGCCATCCTCCCGTGCTCATCAGCTTGTTCATTCATCGTGCCCTTGCGCTAACCAACGCTTCTCCCTCCCGCGGTGTCTGCTCAAGGTGCTTTGACCTTACCCCATGTTCCGGCTCCCCTGGACTTACGAATGCTTCCTTTTCCCCTCATTTATTCAGGGTCCGGTGCGAATCCGGACTCGGAACCGGCCTGCGCCGCCTCCATGTCCTTGAGCGCCTTTTGGCCCTCCTCGGTCGTGGCGTCGATAATCTGCTCCTCCAGACTCAAGATGCCGGCCTGTATGTCACAACGTTGTTAGTGAACCTGCTCATCGAAAATCTTCACTGGAGAAGAAATACTCACGTCTCCAAGCTTGCCGACAATATCCTCAGCCTCTTCGACCTTCATCTTGCCCAACACCTTGTTGACCTCATCCAGGCTTCCGCTCTCCAGAGCCTTTTGGAAGTCGGCGCTGAATGTCTCAAAGATATCCCGACCCTCCTTCACGGCGGGGTCCTCGCTGTCCTTGGGCGGAATCGTAATCTTGATCTCCGTGCCGGGCTCCACCGCGTGCAGCTGAATCTGCTCCACGCCCTCGGGCTCGCTGGCGCGCTCCTTGACAATCTCCCGCGCCCGGTTCCTGATCTTGCCGTACGTATCCTGCACGTCCTTGAAGAACACATCTTGCGCCTGGTGGCCCTTGGTCGTGATGCGCTTGAAGAACATGCCCACGCCGTCCTTGCCCAGCGCTCTGCAGTACTGCAGCAGCAGCGCCTGGTGGACGCACTGCCGGCAAAAGTCGTCCTTGCTCTCGAGGGCGGCGTCGAAGGCTAGGACCAGGAGGCCGTCTGTCTCCCGCTCCGTCAGGATCTGCGGGTTCTTGGACAAGTACTGGGCGCTGGATGTGTAGTCGTCGGCCTTGATCTGCGCGAACTTCTTGGCGGCGGGCGACGCCTCAATCTCCTCATCGTCGTCATACGATTGGGTCGACTTGGCCGGAAGGGACTGTGTCATGTCAAAATTGGGGTTCAGGAGCTCCGGCTTGCGCTGCTCCTCCTTCTTATCCGTATCCTTGGACTTGTTGACGTGCGAGCTGTCAAAGCCCGTGTGAATACCCTCGCTCGTGATCTTGCGTCCCTCCTCCTTCTCCAGCTCGGCCAGCTTGGCAAACAGCTCCTTTTGCAGATTCTGCACCTTGGTCAGGTGTCCCTCGACGCCCTCGAGCATGGCCTTGTAACGGTTCTCGGGCTTCTTCTCGTCCAGCTCCTTGTTAACTTGGTCCAACAACACGGCCATCATCTTGGAGAAGCTGGGCAGCGGCTCCGAGTCGGCGTGGATCCCCTCGGGGCGCGGGGGTGGCTGGTCGTCTTCGGGCTTGCCGGCGGACTCCATGACGGCTTGGAAGGCGACCTCGCCGGGGTTTCGGGTCTCAGCCTCGGAGGCATGGGACTTAAGGGCGTCCAAGAGGTTGGAGATGCGCTTCATCAGGCCATCGTTGATGATGCGCTCGTACTTGAGCGTCTCGATTTGATGCTTGCGCTGCAGTCGCTCCTGGTGGATTTGGTTCTGCTTTGCGCGGATGAATGAGCGCTTATCGACGTTGGGGTGGACCTCGACGTCCGAGTCGTCGCTGAGCTCCAGCGCGTCCTGTCGTATTTACATGTCAGCTACTGAGGTCGGCATCACAACGAGCATGGACGTGAGAGAGTGGGTGATGTAAAACACACCCATTTGCTGTAGTCGACAGGCATCTTGGCGAAATGTTTCAGCAATGTGATGCAGGTGCGTGATTGCCTCCAGCTGATGTGGGCATCGGTTGTTGACTTTGAAAGCGATGTTGTTGAGTGGAATGTTCTGGATTTTGCTTGACAATAGGTGCGGGTTGAAAGGAGTTTGGTGCAGAGCCAGTACGGTGCCACAGTGCATCACAGGTGCGGGGCATTACCCCGCCGCCGTATTGTTATCCCGGTAGCTGAGCTCAGCTATGATATCAGCCGTAAGGCACTTCAACTCTTGCTTTCACTCCTTGTTCAATCAGCGTAGCACAACTTGCTCAGAGATACCGAGCAAATAACTTCTCCTGATTATAAGCTGTCATCTATCAAGTAGGCATCATAACAATGGCAATCTACTCTTCTCATATATGGAGCTACCATCCATAACTGCTCCTAATAAGACAATACTTTGGCAGGATCAAACCCCTCCTTCGCAACTCTCCCAGATCCAACATACCCCCTCTGGTTGCTCACAATCCTGACACCCTTCACAACCGTATCTGTCGAAAAGTGTGTATGCCCAAACACCCAACAGATCATCGGAACAGAATTCCCTACTTCCTCCAACAAATCCGTTGCGAAAGCCGAAGACCAAGGGCTCCCCTCAAACCTAGGCTCCGACGTCCCCTCCAGCGAAGGAGCATGGTGAGTCGCAACAACAACCTCTCTCCCACGCGCCACCGCTTCCCTCGCCTCTCTCTTCAACCAACCCAAGTCCGCCTTATGAGCCGCGCAGTGTGCCTCAAGACTCCATCCCTCAATGTGCTGGAAATCCTTGACCCTTCCCACGACCGCAGCTCCCGCCTTCTCAGGGACCATCGTCCATAGGGTGCATCCCAGGATGCTCACGTTGGAACCGGGGATATCAAACCCGCGGCGGTGGAGCACATGCAACCTCCCTCTCAACGACGGCTCTGCTTCAAGCCTTGCCGCCTCTGCGAGTGTCCCGCCGTACGTGAGGCCATGAAACTCGTGATTGCCAAAAACTAGGAAAACACCCTCGTACCGATCCGTCTGACACCGGATGAACCCGAGATAGCTGTCGTATTCAGATAGGCTACCGACATCGCCGGAAAGTAAAAGAAAGGGTGCCGTGACGGGAAAGTCAAAGGTCGAGTAGTCTTTGCTGGCCTCGAGATGCAGATCCGAGAGGAATTGTACAAGGCCCGACGATCCCCCATTCATGGCCATGGGCCCAGAGGCTTGTTTTTCTGGGCGAGACAGGATAAATGAGGGAGATCTTGCAGTACTGGTGTTGATCTGTCTTGCTGCTCAGCCACATCCAAACTGTTGATGTGGAGGCCAGATGGGGCATCCTATCACAAACTTCTCAGAACACGATTGCAGGTGTACTGCTGCGTATTATTTAATCAGATCGTCTCCATTGTCAAGCTAACATTGAATCCACGTTGACGTTGTTTGCTGCAGCCTATAGACCATCTCAAATAACAAGAACGTCAAAGGCAATCACAGTCACATGCCAGGAGCGTCAGTCACCCCTTATGAGACAAGGTCAGATGCAGTGAAAAGTTAAATCATGAATGGTCAAAATAGTGTGAATGCTCAGTTGTTTTCTTTCACCCCAACGTGCGTCGTCTGAGTCGTAAAAATTGCTAGTGTCATATAGTACAGGTGTTTCCGCGCACACGTTTCGTTATGAGTACACTACTGCGTGAGAGGTCTCAAGCCTCCCTATCGAAAAGGCATCCAACTCGCTCTTATCTAAACCAGATGCCAGGCTAAACTCCATACAAAGGGCCTCAACGGCCTCCCTCCGACCTCCTACTGATACGACCGTGGTCGGGGGTATTATTACTGCATGGTCTTCAAGAAACCATCCAGATCGAAACTCTCCTCATACTGGCGATTATCCCATAGGTCACCCAAATCATCAAGCCAAGCCTTCTTGCCGGGTTGCTTGCCCGTGACGACGTCTCCCGTTTCGATATCCACCATGTCTTCCTCTCTACCCTCCATCGAGTTTTGCGGCTTGTCTGATATGAGACTGGGTCCTGTGTCCCCAAGATTGAAGAGATCAAGAATTTGATCTGTATCCATCGTAGCCAGGCCCGCGTTCTGCTGATTGACCACAGTGGAAGCGACATCGATCTTGAAGCGTTGCAAGCTTAGGATTTTCTCTTCCAAAGTACCTCTGGTCACCAGCCGGTATACGTTGACGACCTTCTTCTGACCGATACGATGAGCTCTGTCCATGGCCTGCATATCCTTTTGCGGGTTCCAGTCATGTTCAACGAAAATGACTGTGTCGGCACCCGTCAGATTGAGTCCCAAACCTCCGACACTGGTGGTCAGGAGCAAGACATCGTACGATGGGTCACTGTTGAATTTGTTGACAATATCCTGACGCTTGTTGGCTTCGACTCCACCATCTAGACGAAGGTGGGTGACGCCTGGCAGCATGGTCTTGAGCACCGTATTCTGGACCATGTCCAGCATCTCCTTCATTTGGCAGAAGATGAGGGCGCGATGAGGCTTGATTGGCTGATACAGGGGGTCATTCGACTCGGCTTCTTCCACACCAATGCCGCAATCGACAAGTAGGTCTCGCAAAGCGGTCAACTTGGGTGCATGAACCGGATCCTCGAGACTGGTGCCTTGCTTGTTAAGGATGCGCTGGGTCTCTTCGTACATGCCGTGTCCAGGCTTCATGACCATGGCTGGAGAGTTGCAGAGCTTTCGCATGTACTGCAGGGCCTGGAAGATGTGTGACTTGGCGTCCTTGTCCTCACGGCCGGCCTCTTCTTGCAGCTTCTTGCCTTGCTTTCTGGTGAAATCGTCAAACAGCTTCTTCTGAAGGTCGCTCAAGTCGCAGTAGTAATTCTGCAAAATCTTGGGCGGGAGGTCATCTAGAACCTCCTCCTTGAGGCGTCGCAGAAGGAATGGCAGGACTTGCTTGTGGAGAGCCTCGATAGCCAGAGCACCCGCTTCTTGCTCCTTTGAAGATGCCTTGCTGAAGCGACTTGCGGCGATGGGCTTGGCGAACCGATCCAAGAAGACCTTCTCAGCACCAAGGAAGCCAGGCATCAAGAAATCGAACAAGGACCAGAGCTCCAATACGTTGTTTTGGATAGGTGTTCCGGTCAGAATCAGTCGGTGGTTGCTGGCCAATTTCTTGACAGAAATCGTAATCTTGGCCTTCGGGTTCTTAATCAAGTGTCCCTCATCCAAGATGACGTAATTCCAGTTGTACTTTGCAAGAACATCGGCGTCGTTTCGGCAGACATCGTAGCTGGTAACGACGATATCAGTCTTGTCCAGGTTATCCTTCATGCTCTTTCTCTCGGCTGGCGGGCCAACGTAGGCAGTGACGCTCAAGAAGGGTGCGTAAGTCTTGATCTCCTGCTGCCAGTGACCGGACAATGTAGGAGGGCAGACGACCAGAGATGGGAGACGGCGAACATCGGGTGCGCCTGTCTTCGCGTACTCTTCGGCGCGCTGGTGATGGTCGCTGGCAACCATGCAGATGGTTTGCAAGGTCTTTCCAAGACCCATGTCGTCGCAAAGAATGCCGTGCAAATGGTACTTGTTGAGGAAGTGAAGCCAATTGACACCATCTTGCTGGTATGAACGAAGTTCTGCCTTGATAGCGACGGGAATCGGGAACGATTCCACTTTCTTGGGGTCCAGCAGTTGGGAAATGAATGTTCGTTCGCGGTCTCTGCCCTTGAGCAGCTCTTCAGACAGTCCAGGAGGGTCTGGGATGCCTGCCTCCAGTGGCACGAGTTTGACGAGGGTTGCAAAAGACGTTGTCGCAATCAGACGAATTTCGTTATCTGAGTCGCTCATGCGGCCCAGAACGGGAACAATGAGGAAGATAACGTAAGGAAGGATAGCATCGCCCATCACGGCAATCAAGTGGTAAATGGCTTCGATCGCACCTTGACGGAAGTTGAGGTCGATAGGATTGCTGATGGATGGCAAGACGTTCTCCACAAGGGCTGTCATACCCTCGACTGTGATGACGCTACAGACAGTAGCCATACATTTCGCTGCCATGTAGCGGAAGACAGAAAGCTCAGAATGCAGGGCTTTAATGACTAAAGGAACCTTCTCCATGATAAATGGATGCATGGCCTTGTCAAGAGTGGGCATGAGCGTTCGAATCAGGGACAAAGCATCGACGATCTCTTGGCCAAAGGTATTCTCGGGGTCCTTGGCCTCAGCCGGCAATGCGCCAGAGAATGCCTTGACAAGAGGATCCTCCATGAACACCCTAATGGTAGGCACGGCCGTGAGCAGCTCGGCGCCGTAGGTCTTGGAGAGGATTTCCAGCGCCTCTTTGGCGCCACGACGGGTGATGCGAGCAGCCTTGACTTCTTTTGCCCACTTGGCAGCGTCTGCATGATCGACTCGATCTTCTTCTTTCTGCATTGAAAGCACGCAATCTGTCTTGCTTGCATGGACAGGGAACTCTGGAGTCTCGGCAACTTCCACGCAAGAGAATTTGATCAGGTTGGAAACAACCTTGTCGGCCGGTCCGCGACGACCCATCTCGTTGAACACTTGCACAAGTCTTGCAATGGTCGCTGATGACCGGCTCTGAAGCACTTGGTTGTCTTCTGTCTTGATGCTGTCCATGATGCCCTTGATCAGTGGGCTGGGCTTCTTGGGTAGGGCCTTGATCGCAACCAATGCGCATGCTGCGCCTGCTTTGATACGGACGTCTCGTGAGTCCTTGGCGGCCTTCGCGTCGGTAATCGCAGACACGGCAACTTCTCTGGCCTCGCTCAGCATCTGGCTGGCAACTAGACGCTGTCCTGGAGACATGGCCTTCTTAAGCTTGTCGAAATCCTCTCCGACAACCTTGTCTGCAACGGCAATGGAGAAGGCACCTGGACCTGCTTGCTCGTCACCCTGAACCAGGACAGCCAGTGTTGGGAGCCGACCACTAGACACTTTGCCGTGGTCGCGGAACATGTTGAGAAGCTGTTGACACTGAGATCGGACCCGGTGCATGAAGCTGACTAGGTCGCCGTAGTGAGCAGGACGTTCAGTCTCAATAATCTTCTGAAGAGGCGCCGCGTATCTTTGTGCTCCTTCTGCAGGGCCGTTGGTAGCGTACTCGTCAATGATCATGCATGCTGAAAGCTGTGTGGACGAAGCCCGGTCTGAGATACCGGCGAGAAGTAGCTGGTCGTACTCGGCGAGGCTGGCAACCGGAATAAAGGACATAATCAGGCCCATGGCTTTGGCAGCTGATACTCTCGATCGAATCAGAGTATCCATGCCAACAAGGTCCACATCTCCCTGGATCATGTGCCCGTCGACGTCATGAGTATGAGAAGTGACTGGAACGTCATCCGTCTTAGCAGATTTGCGACGACGCTTGTTTGCTCTCTCGGGCCCGTCGGGGGATGAGGCCTTGCGGGCGGGTGTGACGGCGACAGGTGCATACGTGCCGCCTGATGGCTTTTGGAATAGATGGGCGGGCATGGGCAAGGGATGCCGGGACACACCAATGGGATGCAGCGTGAGTCTCATCAGAGGCTCGACGTGAGCGGCGAACTCGTCGGCAAGAATCTCGGGCGTCTGTGCAAGTGAGCGAACCAAAGCTGTCCAAACGTCCAAAGACATTGCCAGTGTTTCTCTGTCCCTTTCAACCAAGACGTTCTGGAAGATGAGTCGTAAAATTCTTCCATTGAGCCAGCCTCGAGAGTTCTCAGCTCCCAAATTTGCGAATGTCATCAACGCCTTCAGTACAGCTAAGCGGACGGAAGTGATGGTGTGTCGAAGGAAGGGGTACAAGCGCGGCACCAGCAAGGTGAAGGAACGCTCCTCGTCTTGTGCGGCGGACGTCTCCATGGCCTGCAGGACTTCGGGATAGCTGCAGAGTGTCGCAAGTAAATCCATGATCTTACCAGTGCTAGCACTGAGATCGTCACCAAGGTCGGCCAAACTGCCCCACATGATGTTGATGAGGCTATCGATAGACCCAGGTCGTAATGTGACGAACTCCTTGGTCATGGGGAGCAAAGTCGCAGCGCTCACTGCTCTGACGTCGTCGTCATGCTCCTCCAGGCCCTTCATGACCAGCCGAACAACGCCATCGATCATCTCACTGTCCTCCAACAGCAGGTCCTTCCTAACCGCAACGACGTATCTCAGTCCAACCATTCCACCGTGGCAGACAGACCACTGAAGCATGTCGAGCTGGAGATCATCCTGCATGA